GCCCCCTCGGAGTCGCTAGCCAGACATTTACATTTGACATTTCTTGAGGACGGTGTCACTTTTTCTTAAAATTTATTTTATTGATGCATAGAGAACTGGGGTACAGGCCAGAGGTGCAAGGGCAGTGAGAGGATTCACCAGAGACAGAGTGGCAGATCTACTGAAATCCACTGCTGAGGGGGGCAGCGCAGAGACAGCAGGGGTCCGCTGCGCCCCGTGGGGCCCTCCCTGGCCGATCGAACTCGCCCTGTGGCTGGCTTGCAGTGCTGGGCTTTAGCTCCCTGTACCATGGAGGGCCCGTTGTCACTTTTTAAGCGCTGTGTGTCGGGCACTTTGGTGCCTGCGAAAGCTTCTAGCGCTCAGAAAATCCTAGGGAAAGGGTACTGCTGTGGTAGCATCTCCCGCTCTCCCTGGCTCCTTCTTCTGCACAGGCTGTGATGCCCCACCCTGCTCCCTCTGGCTGTCCCTGGCCCTGTAGGCGATTCACGGTCCTGGGGGGGCATCCGCAGAAGCCACTCTGGCTGCAGGCTACCGCGGGTGGTCGTGACAGAGCCGGTGTGCCTTTGGTCTGTGATGACGGCACTCGGGCTCCAGTTCAGTGTCCTCAGACCTTCCTTGATTCCCAGCCCCTCCTGCTTGCATTTAATTCTCGCCATGACATTTGTCTGCTCACTTTTCCTTGCGGGTCTCCTCTCCAGGTCACAGTCCAAGCCTGCATGTCTCTTCTACTCCCAGAGCAGCACCTGGCCAGCCACAGGTAGCCAGAGGGGCACTTTGCAGAGCAAGTCCTAGGGAGTACCCAGGAATCTGGGGTGTCCCTCCTGAGTCGGGCTGGTGTCAGGTTCCTGGTGGATGCTACGACCCCGCAGCACCATCTTTGACAGAAATGGAGCCTTAGTTCTGGTGGGTCCTGTGCTGACACAGACTTTCCTGAGCCCCAAGGGCCCTCCTGCAGAGCTCCCCACTCCAAGCGGAACCTCCCTGTGTCACTCAGGGAGGCCGTGGCGGGGCACCTCCCGACTGCTCCCTGCTGTGGAGCTGACCCGTCACCCCCCTGCCACTGTTTCTGGATCTGCTGCCTGATCTCACTTTTATGGGCACAGCTCAGCGTGTTGGTCCAAACACTGCGCAGAGCGTGGTGTGTGTCGATGCCTCAGCACCTCACAGGAGTGGCCTGCATGGAGCGTGACACCTGCCCACCAAGAAGCCACAGGTCAGGTGACTTTGGGCACCTCAGCGATACCCAGCCAGGTTCTCCCTGACCCTGTGCTTTGGCCAGTGATTTTTTTTCCTCCAGAGGCTTAAAGGCAGCCAACATGGTCACATGACGCAAAACTCAAACGGCATAGACCAGTCACAGTGAGATGGAGATCTTTCTCTGACCACGGTCTCAGCCACGCACCTGCCTCCCCAGAGGCACCGGCTGGCTCCCGGTGTCCCGTGTTCCTCTCTGCAGGGAGGACATGGTATGTCCAGAGCTGGGCTGCGCTGTGCCGGGGTGAGTGCCGGGCAGCTCTTACTTTAGAACGTGAACTGCTCCCGCTGAGCCTTCTGGGGGTTGAAAGCCACTGCTGAACTGTCTTTGTTTTACAGGTAAACTGCGGCCCAGAGACGGGAAGGCAGCCGCTGCCAGGAGCTCGGGCAGCGTCCTTTGTCCACCTAGAGCTCATCTTGTCCCTGTGGGCAGGGAGACTGCGTGGGGCGGAGCACAGGAAGCTTGTCCGCACCCCTCCGGCGTAGCCGCGGCGGTGCCCTCACCGCACACTGCGCCTGCGCAGGCGCCCACCTGAGGCCCGCGTGCGCTCCTGGCCCGGCCTGTGCCGTCTGTGCTCACTTAGCGCAAGCGCACACCCGGCTTTCCCGATACGCAGACAAACACATTTTTCTTGTCATCTTTTTCCCCAGGCACATGGCAAGGAGGCTTTTCACACTCCCTGTATGACCTGCTGGTTTCTTGTTCCGGCTTTTCTGCTGTCCTCAGGCTTCTTTGGCATCTTTGTGGCTTTCTTAGCCTCTGGCCTTGCTCCTCAAGCGCAGGGCAGAGGAAGGCCGGGCCCTCCCGCCAGTTCTTTGGCGCTTATCTCGCCCTGGAGGCGGCCCTGCCTGTGTTCAGCCTTCTCAGCCCTCGCCTTTTTATCTTGTGTCTAGGTTACACCGCCTCTCCCAGGGCGGGAGGTACTCCATCCCACTTGTTCTGCACCGACCTCCCCACCCCCAGCCCTGGTCTCCCGCCAGGCTGTGATGGGTGCTGTAGTGGGGAAGAGAGGAAGGCGACTGTGCCAGCAGTGATTCAGCAACTCAGGCCACGTTCCGCAGAGCCCATCAGCGGGCCCCTCCCGCGCCAGGCCCTGGGAGGTTGCTCTGGCCGCTTTCAATATTGTTTCTACCTACAGGTCACTCCTCCTGCTCCTGCCCTTTCCGCGTGCATGCCTACGATCCCTCGCCCCACTGAAGGCTGCTTTTGAAAATTTTATCTTTCCTTTTCTTTAAAATGGTTGGGGCACTTTGGCCAAGCATATCACCCCCTTGGAGTGTCAGCAGGTTCCCCCACAAATGTTGGGTGGGCGTGACAGCTCACGTTCCAGCGTGGTCCTGTTCTGGTTGGAAGTTCTTCCTGCCCCTGGGAGAGTGGAGGCTGCTCTCAGCTGCCCCAGAGGCTCCGAGGCCCCGTCCGTGCTGCCTCCCGGCCTCCCAGGCAGGCTCGCAGGGCCCCGGGCAGGGCAGTACACAGGCCCTGGGGCCAGGGCTACCTCGCCCTGCCAGCCTTAGGGCAGGCCCTTCATCTGTCTGCTGGCCTGTGAAGCGGGATCCCCAGCACCAACCCCACCGGGTCCTCAAGAGAACAGGCTACAGTAGCGGGTCTGGGCGCTTGCCTCATGCACGTGCCACCATTAGGAGGCTTTGCGATGGCGTTGCCATCAGGCTGCCCATTCTCAGACGCTGGGCTCGCGCAGGGGGGCGCGAGAACGACGTGGAATACACGCCAGCCCTGTATTGGTGCGGCAGAGAAGGCACCTTCAGAATGACAGTGGGAAACAGGAGCGCCCTGGAGGGGAGGGAGGCCTGCATCTGACAGGACAGGTGGCTGGGCTGCTCCCCGGGCCTCCCGTCAGCTGTCCACGCGCCAAGGAAGCCTGACCTCCTTCCAGCTCGTCGTCCTGAGCTCCACACACACCAGGTCTGGGGGTCACGCCTCCGAAGAGCACACTCCCCCACCAGCTCTCCTCCGGGGTGCTTCACCATCTGCCTGTTTTCCCAGGGCAGGGCCTCTCTCCCTTCAGCCCTACTTTCTTTTTTCTTTTGTTTAGGATTTGTGTATTTATGCATACAAGAACTGGGGTACAGGCCAGGAGTGCAGGTGTTGAGATGATTCCTCAGAGAGGGCCCCCCGCTATTTTCTAACCAACCTCCACACCTATCGGTTAACTCTCGCCAAGGACTTGAGTCTCGGTTTTCTGCACCTCCTTGCCCGTCGCCTTAGTCTCTGCCTGCGTCCCGGCTCGCCCCCCTCCCCCCACCGCGCTGCCTGGCTGCTGTGGTCTCAGGATCGGCGTGGGCTCCCCGGGCCTCCTGCTGCTCCGCTCCTGCCACGCTCACCCTTGTGGTTCAGCCGCACAAACCACACGTGGGTCCCAGGGCAGGCCAGACCCTCTGGTCTCCAGAGCTCGCTGCTTCCGGACATCCACTGTGCCACTCAGGTGTCACTCAGGGACACCCCTTCCCCAGCTGGCCGTTGCCCCCGCACGCTCCTGTGCCACCTGCCACGCTGTGTGCCTGCCCTGCTCGCTGAGTGCCCATGTAGGTAAGGGCCCACCCCGGGCTCACCTGATGTCAGCCCAGGACAGATCTGGCTGGGCCCGCAGGCGGCCCGTGTGGGTGGGGGCGCGCTGGGACCCCGTAGGCCGTGGGAGAGGGTGGAGCCGGATGCCCTGGGTGAGATCTGGCCCCTCCCAGCCCATCTGTGGGGACGAGCCCTTAGCGGCCCCTTACTCCTTTATGGAGCCTTCTGTGGGGTGTTGGAGGGGGGAGCCGCTGCCCTCGGGGCGGCCTTCTAACACCTGACAGGGTAAAGGGTGAGGAGGAGACTCTCTAAGGCCGAGGCTGAGGGGAGGAGCTGCTGCCTGAGGGTGGAAGAACCAGAGCAGCCCTGGAGGCCGTGAGGGTGAGGCAGGTGAGGGTGCAGGTGCGGCCAGGATGGGCAGGCCCCAAGGACAAAGGCTGAGTTCAAGGGCACTGCTGGCCCGCTGGGCCAGGCGCTCAGGCTGACTCGGGAAGCTGGTGCTGGGAGGTGCAGACTGGAGCCGTGGAGCTGACACAGCCACGCAGGGGCTTCTGGCACGAACAAGAGTGGGCCCTGGTGTCACTTCTAAGGCTGGGGGGCCGGGGGGGGCAGCGTTCTACCTTTGGGCATCTTCTTGGCCTGGGGCAGCTGTAAGTAGTTAGGTGGCTGGCTGGCCTTGAGCTTCTGGACTTGTGAGGTCGCAGCCCTTTGCTTTCTCCTTGGTAAGGAAAAGATCGGCTGACTGGATTTTCTGGGGTGGCTCTGTGCAGCCCATGAAATCAACCAGCTGAAGCGCTCAGCAGCCGCCGGGCAGGAAGGGAAGGCCCGGGGGACAGTGGCTGCAAGAGCGGGGACGTGCCAGTCCTTGGACACAGCAGCGCACAATGGAAAAGCCACTTCAGAGCACCCAGCCGAAGCCTCCTGTGCAGAGCGGGGGCCTCGCTCCCACGTGGGCTGTGCTTCCGGGGAGCAGCTGTGGGAAGGGGAGGCCATCAGCAACGTCACAGCTGGCCCCCGACGCCTCTGCCAGGCCCTGGCCACGAATACCTCACTGGTCCTGCCCAGCACAGTCGAGGTCTGAGCAGACGCCACAGCCCAGAGGACTGTAAACATAGTCCCGGATCCTGGATGGGACTCTGGACCGGAGGAAAGACCCGAGGAAAATCTATGGACGCCGGTAGCAGTAACATGAGTATTTTATGAGTTTATTGGTTCTGCCAGAAGTGCCCTACTACTTTACCCTGTTAGCCCAGGCAGGAACAGGACAAGCAGCACACAGTAGCTCTTTGTTCGAGCTTTGCAGCCGAAGCAGACGACCATTTCCACGAAGACGGAAGCCTGCCCGGAGCTGTGTGCGGGCCACCGGCCTTCCTTCTGCCAGAGCCACAACTCCGCGTGAGCGAGCGGGCGTCCGACCACAGCAACACTGACTCGAGGTGATACCAGAAGTCCAGTGATGTTTTTCAAGGAAGTAGGGAAAAAACTAAAAACAAAAACCCAGAAATTTATATGGAGCCAAATGGCTAAAGCAATTTTGAGGAAAAAAAGAAAACGGAGGCGTCACGTTAGCAGACTTCAGACTACAAACAACAGCAGTTGGACCAGTGGAAGGGGAGCCTGGGGTAAACCCACACGCTGGCAGAAGTCGGGAAGAGGAGCTGTGCCCACGTGGCGGCAGAGACGCTCTCCACCGCCGGACAGCCGCGCGAGAAGCGGGAGCCCGGCTCACTCTCGGCCTTCACACTGACAGACAGACAACCTCCAAGTGGGCTACGGCCTCGGACGCAAGGGCCCAAGCTGTCAAATACACAGACAACACAGGCCCTGTGGACCGTGATGCCTTCAGGACAGAGAGGCCTTGGGGACTGCACCCCAACAGCGAGGGATGGAAAGGAGCCACCGGTGGCAGCAAACTCGAAAGGCCTGTACAGGGGGAGGCACTGCCAGGCGGCGGCATGTCGCGGTGTCTGGCTGTGGGGCCGTCAGCCAGCCTTACTGCTGCGCAGCCATCAGCAGGAGTCAGCAGATGAAAAAGACGGGTGACTGGACAGGAGACGCTTGCACTTCACACGTCTGACAAGGGGACACTATCCACGCTATGTAAAGAACCTGTCAACTTCCACAAAAAGCCCAATGAAGAAATGGGCAGAAGGTCTGCATAGGCGCTTTTCCAGACGAGATCCGGCTGCCGGGCTGGGCACCCTGGAAGTGCAGGGGCTGAGTCTCAGCCCTGACTCTCTCACCAGCCACGGCAGCGTGAGTTCCGTCCCCGGCCAGGGAGGGACCCACAGGGCGCAGCAGACCCCTCTGGTCTCCCCGCTGCTCCCCTCAGCAGTGTGTTTCAGTCGGCCTGCTCTGCTCCCTGCTCTGTCTCTGGTGAATCCTCTCACCCCCCACACCTCTGACCTGTACCCCAGTTCTTGTGTGCATAAATAAATCTTTACAAAAACAAGATATCCAGCTGCCACCAGACATATGAAATCATGTTCATCCTCACCTACTCAGCAAATGCAAATCAAAACCACAGGAGCGAACACCTCAGCACCTTGCACCTGTGAGAACAGCTGATGGCAGAGAAGCTTAACAGGTGTTGGTGAGGCTTGAGAAAGGGGCCTGCTGCATGTTGGGGGTTAGACATTGGTGCGGTCATTTTGGAAAGTGGTCTGGAACATCAAAACCCCAAGACGAGCTGTTACGTGACCCAGCAGCCCTTCTGCCGGAAGCATCAACTGGGCACGTCACACACACCCCACGTTCACTGCGGCCTTACTCACAAAAGCCAAGAAGCCATGGAAGTCCCCCGGGCCCACAGATGGGGGACCGGAGAGAGGTGTGTTCACATACCCCCAGCTACTGTTGCTCTCTGTAAGGAAGGTGCCACTGTCACCGCTACATGAAAGGGACTCGGCTCCTGCAGCACAGATGGAAAGATGAGACGCTGGGTGACCTACTGCTGTGTGCGCTGCGGAGACTGCCCGGGGGGCAACACGAACTAGTGGACGCTGATGACCGAGCTGCGGGTGGGCGAGGCGGCACGAGGTGTCAGTCTTGAAAAACTTGAGAAGAGGCCGCGATCCCGCCGCCCCGCAGTGCTCTGGCTGCCCTGGTCCGTTCTGCTCTGGCCGGGCTTCCCCAGAGTGGGGGCCCTCTCCCCAGGGCATCTTCCACTGAGGTGACTGGGACCCTGGGCACGGTCCCTGCGCCCGCCCTCGCGCCTCCCGGCTCGGGTCTGTCTGCTTGCTCGGGGCGACGGGGCGCGGCCGAGGCGGCAGCCAGAGCTGCACACCTGCGCAGCGGTACTGTGTACCTGTGATGAGCCAGGCGGGTTCCTGGGTGCCGAGGACATGACAGGGAGTGACAAGGTGCCTGTTTCCTCGGTGCTAACATTCTGGGGGTGTGGGCACGCACAAGTATGTGCTAGAACGGAGAATACAGAAGGCAAGGGGACACTAGTCGGGGAGCAGAGCACGCCTCGGCGGTGACGTCAGGGCCAAAACAGGAGTGCGGGACACGCTAGGTGGGTGGAGGGGAGGGAGCAGGCTGGGCGGGGGCGGGGGGGCTGTGCAAAGGCCCTGGGGCAGTGAGCTGGGAGACCCAGCACTCCACCAGGCGGGTGGGCGGCCGGTGGGTTCAGAGGAGTCGGGTTCCACGCCCAGGGAGATGGGAAGCTGACAGTCCCGCCAGTAGCTCAACGCAATCCGACGACCATTTCAAAGACTCTGCCCGTGTGTGAACGGACCGTGGGAAGAGAGGTGGAAGCAGATTCGGAAGTGGTTACTCGACCTGACAAAGCAGCAGCTGTGGAAAGGGCGAGGAGGCCGGCCAGGCTGCCTGACGGCGGGCGGCGTGGGGCATCGGCGGCACCCAGGAGTGCAGCTTCTGCTCTCAGAGGCCAGAGAATGGAGGAGGAGTTGTGTGCGAGGAGCTGCCATGCTGCAGGCAGGCGTGGGGAGGCCGCCGGGGGCCCCCATGGTGACCCCGCGATACAGTGAGGGGCCGAGAGCGAGCAGGCAGCGGGGCAGAAGCAGCGCCCAGTGCTGGCCACAGCCGAGCGGGGACGGGAGGCCAGCAGGATGCGGCCATCGCAGGCTGCTGTGGTCAGGACTGCCCGTGGCTCTGCCCCGGTCCTGGTAAGGGACTTGAGCGGTGAGAGGAGGCCGAAGGGGGACCGGAGTCGTAGTCTGAGCAACTCCTGGAAGAGCCTTGCTGTGGGGACACAGGCGTGGTGTGGCGGGCGGCCTTCTGGAGCCGAGGGCCCTTCACAGGGGCAGAGGGTGAGGCCGGCAGAAGGCGGGATGGGGGTGCTGGTCGCCGCAGCCGGGTGGGCGGAGCGTGTCTCCCGCCCGCTGGCACAGCCGGCCCAGGGAGGCCCTCAGGGCTGCTTCCGGGCCTAAGTGGGGCCCGCAACACTCACCCCTCCCTAGTTACCCGCCCCGCCTGACTGGCCTGGCGAGTCCCCCCAGCCGAGTGTCCGCCTCGCTCAGCAACACGCGTGTAGACGGCCTTTCTGGGACACTTTCCAGACCTCGCGGGCTGCGCCCATGTGGGGCGCAGGTGGGCTATCTCCACTCTCCAGCCTCAGGGCCTGCGAGCACGGCGTGCGGGGTCCCCGGACCCCCTTCTGTGAGGTCATCTGGCGTGGCCAGCCAGAGACAGCCGCGTCCTTGGCCTGCCACGCCTCTGTGGACGAAGACGCCCTGCAAGCCCCTACCTGGGCACGTCGGAGGCCGTGGCGTGGGGTGTGCTGAGGCGCAGCAGAGCAGGGCTGGCAGGGAGCAGTGGCCGAGTGTAGACCAGTTAAGGAGCAGGAAAGAGCCCCTCGACGGCGCCTCCGGGAACGGTCTCGTCCTGGGCAAGACTCACACCTCTCTTCCGTGGTTAAGAAATGGCAGTTGCTTCTTTCTGGCCTGTCCCTAGTTGCTTCTGGCTGTATTGGTTAAGGGGCTGGTCCCAGGGAGAGGCAGAGGCCCAAGGCTTGCTAGGTGGTAAGAAATCACCAGTTTATTTGAATGAAAAACCCGACATCACTCAGTTCCGCCCACCCCACCCTCCGGCCTGAGAGCAGTCCAGCCCGGGAGACACTGGCCGGCAGGGCTGGGCGGGGGTAAAGGCTGGAGGAGTTTGGGGGAGGTATGGAGAATGAGAAAAATACTTTTCAAAATGAAGTTCTGTGCAAAAACTTCCAGAAAGGGCGAGAGGGCAACGTGAAGCCCTGGCGGTGTGGGCGGGTGGGGGGCAGCAAGGCCTGGCCCCACGGGCGCAGCCTCTCCTGAGAGCTCTGACGGTCAAGGTCGAGGAGGTTGGCGGGCTCAGGCCCCGGGCCCCTAGCCTGCGGTGAGAACGAGGGGACAGAGCCTGCCGAGCCTGGGCCGGTGGGTGGGCTCTCAGCCGGGCCGGGGCCCAGGAGCGAGGCGGGAGGAACAGGCCAGAAGAGGCAGTGGGCCAGGGAGCAGGGCCACCCGCACGCGGAGGGTGGGCGTCTGCCCCGGCCCCGAGTGCCACTTCAGGGGGCGGCAGAGCTGCGCTGGGGGTGGGGGGCAGAGGGGCGGAGTCGTCCACGAGGCGCGTCACAAGACGGGGACCTGTGTCCAGGCCAGTCTCAGGGGCCCACAAGAGGATGGCTGTGCAGAGAACGGAAGAGACCGCAGGCCCCCAGGACACCGACAGGCCTGCGGGGGCTGAGGAAGCCGTGCAGGGAAGGCCGGGAAGGCCCCTCCCTCCCAGGAGTGTGCGGCACTGCCCTGGAAGCTGTTCTGGGGCGGGGAGCTGCCCTTTCGCTGTGAGAACCCCGCAGGTGGAAGTGGCCTGCCCACATGCCTGTGTCCCCTGTGGGGTTCAGGCTGAGTAGGATCTGGCAGCTGGGCTTTAGGAAAAAACAAAAACATGAGGGATCCCAGTGGCAGGAGGGCGAGGCCAGGATTCCAGGCTTCCCCTTTCCAGGAGGAGAAATGGCATCGCCTGGGGAAAGGGCTGGACGCAGGTGAAGGCAGGCCCCGAGGACCCAGTCCAGGCAGGCCCGGAAGGCAAAATCAACATGCCCCAGGAGCCGGGAAGGGGCGGAGCAGGAAGGGGCCCGGGGCGGGGAGCGGGCCCCAGTGGCAGTGTCCTTCAGGACGGCAGGGAGAGGCAGGCCGCAGGGCCGGGACAGGGGACGTGGCGGGGCCTGCCGGCCTCCCCCTGCCCGCAGGCGGCGAGGCTGGTGGCAGTGCCGGGCGGGAGTGTGGCCAGAGGCAGCACCCTCAGGTGGCCTTGCTGCCACTGAACAGTCCCACTGGAAAGTGCTTGACGTGGGTGGGCCACTGGGCTGCCAGCTGGAAGAACTTGATGTCGCTCCACTCGACTCCGTCGATGGACACTGGGGAGAGAGAGGAGGGGTGACCAGGGCTGCTAGGCCTGCCCCAGGGCCCCTTGGGGTGTGTCCCTCCCCCACGCCCCGGTACCTCTCAGCATGGTCTGTTGCTGCTTGGCCGAGCAGATGAGGCGGCTGATGCCCTCAATGACCTGGCTCTTGGAATCCACCTCCTTTTCTCGAGGTTTCTTGCTCAGGAAGATGGTGGGAACTGGAAAGCAAGGGGAAAGCCTCAGTCTCCGGACCGCCCCCCGCTCCCCCCGGCCCCGCAGGGGCCCCTCTTCTGGACACGGAGGGGATCTGCAGAACGCGTCCTTCCTCCCCTGCTCCCCAGGCTCAGCCCCCCCACCGCCACCGCGCTGCTCTGGGACGCCCTCCCCGGGCCGCGGCTCCGCATCCAAACGCCTCTGAAGTCCCTTCTAGAGCTCGTCACGCACCTTTCTTGTTCTTCTCTTTGGTGACCACGGTCATGGCCATGGTGCCAGAGGGCGGGGCCTCCCCGCCATGGGGCAGGCGGGAGACCTGCACCGAGCGGAACACGCTCTTGAGGGTGTTCTTGGAGCTGGCGTCCCTCTTGTCGCCTTCCCGCCGCCGCTCCCCGGGGTGGGCCAGCCAGTAGTCCACCTGGAGGCCGATCACGTCCCCGTAGGGGCTGTTGGGGCTCCTGTGGGAGACGGGGGGGGGGGGCCCTTCACTTCCCCGGCACAGGGCCCGCGGGCTGGGGCGTGTGCGGCGGGGCGAGGAGGCGGCTGGGAACCAGCTCCAGCGGTGGTGGCCGGTTGGCCTCGGAGGGCGAAGCCGGGTGGTGGCAACGCCGGAGGGGACCAAACTGGCACAGGAGGCTGAGGGAAGCGGCGTGTGCAGCGCCTGGTCAGCCGAGCTGCCCAGCCGGCAGGGGCCGCGCGTGCTGGCCCAGCGGGCCCAGAGCCAACGCGCTGCCTCGTGTTTGTGGCGCTTCCAGGCAGGCATGACTTTTGCTCGGGGGAGGGCTGATGTCTCTCTGAGAGGAGGCGTCAGACAGCGGGCACACAGGCTACGGAGGCGCCTGGCATTCCCGCCCGCCTGGTTTCAGCAGTTCTGTTAGAAAACAGCTTAGACGGGATGGAAAAGGAGGTCGAGAGGAGGACCGAACCCCAGGCCTCCCCAGAAGCCGGGGCCCGGGAGGCCCCTGGAGCGCGTGAAGGTGCCGTCTCCTCCTTCCCGCCCCGCCCTCCCGGGGAGCCAGCAGAGACCCCTCAGAGTGAAAAGGGGCGGGTGGGGGTGGCCAGGCGGCCGCACCTTCCCGGGCGCCCAACCAGGGCTCTCGCTGCCCGCTCCCCTGCCCGCTCCCTTCTGAACCGGTGTGCCGGTCGCTGCCAGACCAGGCTGGCTGACAGAAGTCAGAGCAGCCCCAGCCAGGGCGGGCGGGCGGGCAGAAAGGCCGCGGGCCTTACCCCACCACGGCGAGGGCGCTGCTCATGGACGGGGAGGAAGGAGGGGTGGCTGTGGCGTCTCGGCTCAGGCCGGAGCTGGAGGGCGGTGACGTGGAGGGCACAGTGAGGCTGACCACGGGTGAATCGTCCCCGTCACCTGCCGGGAGGGCAGATCAGCTGGTTGGGAAGCCATTCTGACCCACCGGTGGCAGAAAACCAAGGGGCCCCCTCTCTGCTCCAGGTGCTCCTGTCCTCGGGCCTCAGTCCCGCTGTCCCTGCCCCCCTGCAACTGGGGAGCGGGGTGCTCACGGTCTTCCTGCTCCCACTGGGCCCTCACTGAGGACACCCAAGGCTTTCACTTCTGAGTCTGCAACTGAAAAGCCCCACCCGAAATGAAGGGCCAGGCTCACCTGTAGTGGATGGCGAGTCTTCAACCAGACCCACCTTCACCACCTGCGGGAAGGAGACACTGCGTTAGGCCGGGGCCTAACAGAGGGGACAGGGGGCCGGGCGCAGCGGCGTTACTGCGCGTTACTTGTGCACAGACTTTTAGAATCTTGGCAAACCCAGAGCAGCCCGGAGAAGTGAAAAAACCTGTGCAGAATCCTCAAGGGGGCAAAGACACCTTGAATGAAGGCAGGAGACGTGTTAGTGTCCGACCTCACTTCCTGTACGCGACGGGCAGGGGCAGGGGCAGGAGCCTTCTCCTCGTGTCCCCAGAGAGCCGGCTGCGGCGGGGGCGTGGCGGGAGCGCCTGGCAGGGCCTGCCTGTGCACGTGGGCACAGCACCTGCCCTGGGCTGATACCAGCTCTCCCCTCAGGCCTCCTGCACCAGGAGGAGTGGATGAGAAGGTGGTCCAGCCCCACCCCCAACTGGCAGTAGGGTCAATTTCGTATTCCCCATACAGAATTCTGGGAAGGCGACAGGGGGCCCTCCAGTGGCCAGAAAAGGGCACAGCTAGTGGCTGGCTACCGTGGCTCCAAGTGACAGGTGAGCCCCGTGGACTGGCTGCCTGGGGCCTCACGCCTGGCGACAGCACGAGGAAGGAGGCATGGACTCAGGACGGGCATGGAGTGGAGACTATGCCCTGACGGTGCCCACAAGGCCTCCCCGGCCACACTGCTGTCCCATTCTCCAGGCATCCTTACTCTATTTCAGGAAAGTAACACACTGACACTGACTTACTGGACGGCCCCTTTTCTGGCTCCCCTGGCATCAATGAAGTTGCCAGCTTCTTTGTTCAAATTTTTGATGTTTAAATATGTATCTCAGCTGCAAAGCCAGAGTGGGCAGCAAGCCACGGCTCCACGAAGATGTGAATCAAACCGCCAGCCCTCACCAAGGTCTGGGGCGGACCCCATCGTAGCCAGGGGAGCAGCTCTGAGGCTAACGGGTGCTGATGGCGTGGCCAAGGGGGAGGCAGGGCCAGGCGTGAGCAGCAGCTCAGAATCTGGGGTGAGCAGAGGAGAGGGACAGAGGGCTTATACTCCACCTGCCACATGGCCCTGCCCCTGGGAGCTGGGAGAGACCCTAAGAGGCTGTAGGAAAAACAGGAGCTGTAGGAAAAACAGGGGGGATCTGAGTGCCTGGAGAGTGGAGGCAGCTCTGCCCCTCTGGTGCCCCTCCCGCTGGGTCTTGGCTTGTGGCCCGGCCACTGCTAAAGGCCAGAACCACCTGACATTGAAGCCATCCAAGAGGTCTCCCTGGAAAGGCCTTGCTGAATGTCCCCCATTAGGAGAAGGAAGGCAGACTTCACCTCAGGGTGGGTCGTTAGGGTCTCCTGAACGTCTCTTCAGGATGCCGGCACCTGCCAGCATTTCCGAGGCCGCTCTGTCCCTGACCCTGGGCTCTGCACATGCATGTGACGTACGAGAGGTGATCGGGGAGTTCCATGGTTCTGGAAAAGCGGCCGTGGGGGGAGCAGCGCAGACCTGTGCTATCTCAGGCACCATGCGCTTCCGTATAGCTGGGATTTGGGGCTCTGTGGGTGCTGTCCTGTGCTAGTGGGACATTCGGCACACCCCTGTTCTGCCCACTAGCACCTGCAATGCCCACACCTCCAGCTCTGACAACCCGAAGGTCTCCAGACACTGCCAGATGGAACCTGAGGCGAAGTCACCGCTGATGAGAACTACTGTGGAAATGAGTCTTACCTGTGTATATTTACGGGGTGAGGGAGACAACAGACAGGCCAGGAATGGGGGTGGGGTTCAGAGGTGTGGGGAGGTGGTACTTACGCCAATGAAGGGGATGAACTTCTGATAGGAGTCTTCGTCGGGGCTGTCGGGAGAGACAGGATGGCTTTACAGTTAGCGGAAGACGGCGCAGGAGTGGGGGCCATGGGCTTCTCTGTTCTGCTGTGGTTTCAGGAGAAACCAGACCCCACACGGCCTCGTTCCCTATCTCGGGAGGGTGCCAGGAGCCATGAGACCAACGCCACACACTGTCCCTGCTTCCAGGGCGGGATTTCAGCCCTGAGGGTGGGTTTCTCTGTATGAGGGCACCCATGAGGGTGGGCAGGCCCAGGGTAAGGAAGGATGGATGCAGATTAAAAATGCACCGTTCCTCCACATGTCTTTTGCAGCAACTTGGATGGAGCTGGAAAAGATCATGCTGAGTGAGATAAGCCAGAGAGAGAAAGAAAAATACCGGATGGTTTCACTCATAGCAGGAGTATAATGGACCAGGCGAGAAAATAACAAAAATAATGAACAGCCATATATCGGAGACATTTTGTGGGGGTGGAGTGGGGAATGGGATCAAAAACAGAGAGGTGGGGAGGGAAATGCACGGGACTATGGTGGTGGCACACGGGTGACTCGGTGATGGGAAACCCGCGGGATGACAATTGAGATGGAAACAAGATACAAAATGATGTAAAAATAAACTGTTATATTATTAAAAAAAAAAAAAAAATGCACCGTTTCTCACATTCTCCGGCTCCCCCGAAGGGAAACGGTGTCAGGAGGGGGAAATGTGAAAAAGCAGACAGCTCAAGATTTATCCGCCCACCCACCCACCCCTTTCCACGAAGCCCCGAGTCGAACTCACAACTTGTGCCTGCAGGTCAGCATGGCCTCGGCCACGGGCAGCTGGTGGGTGACGGCCGCCCCGCTGACGTACTGCATCACCCGCCCCACCACGTCCAGTTGCTCTGCAGATAAAGCCGAGAGAGAACCGTCCGCTGGCGGCAGCAGGCGGGCCCGAAGCCCTGCTGGGGGGCCTCTTCTGGAGCGAGAAGTTTCTGGAGAGCTTTGGTGGGCGGCCAAGGAGCCATGAGCCAAACTGCCCCAGTCCTGCTCGGCCCTCTCTCCAGGCCGCCGTGCTCCTGGTTCTGCTCACGCCACTGGCCCCTGCATGGCGCCACCCAGAGGACCCTGCCATCTTTGCTGTAGTTTCAGAGAGACAGGGTCAGCGCCGCGCTGCCCAGTTGCCAGTGGGCTGCATGCAGCCCTTCTCAGTCCCTCATCCTCCATCTCCCAGCTAGCTGCAGCCTCCCCTCCTCCCAGGGCCTGCCCGTGTGCAGGGCAGAGCAGAGAGCAGCGCCTACCCCGGCCTGCGGAAGGGCTGTACAGACCTTCTGAAGGCCAGTGGTCAGGAGGCCGGAGTCACAGGCGCAGCAGCAAGCTGCCCTCGCCCGGCCGGCTCGCACCCAGCAGCACACTGGGCCTCGGTCCCCGCAGGGGCCATTACCTGACACGGGGGGCTCCGAGCGACTGAACAGGTCTCTCCAGCCAGAGTCAAGGAAGGTGCTACTGTATCGACTGTCGACGGAGCCCAGGTACTTGGCCACGGGGTGAGAACCTGGCGGGTGCGAGACCAGAGAAGGTGAGCAGGGAGGGGAGAGCCGGGCCTGGGCCGCCGGGCTCCCTGCCTGCCGCTCCCCGGCGCAGCCGTGCCCTGCCTCAGAGCGGGCTCTGCCCCCGCTCACCGAGGGGGACGATGAGAAAGCGCATGTAGCTGAGCCAGTCGGGGGTCTTGCTGGCCAGCGACTTGACAAAGAACCGGAGGATGGAGCTCAGGTAGCTCTGGCCGCCCACCGCCGCCACCTTCACCGGCCTGGGCATGGAGGAGTTGCAGTTGCAGCTGGGGAGCAAGGGGGCGTCAAACCACTCAGGAGGTTCACCAGGATCGGGCCCTGCATTCTGACTTGACTTGATTTCTACAACCCACCGGCGAAGGACAAGCCAGTGAACAGCATACTAGAGGCGACAGCCACAGTGTTTTTGCAGCTGAGGGAGAATGCAGGTGGAGGGAGGCCGCCCTCACAGAGAGCCGGGCTGAGGCTGAGGCCAGTGGCGGGCATGGGTGCCGGCGCCCAGGGGCCCGGGCTTCTCTCTCCTGTGAGCAGGTCTGAGGGGACTCGCAGCCCCTCCAGGAGGTCCTGGGGAGGGCAAGGTCTGATACAGGACACCACGCAGCATGGTCTAGTTCAGGAGACGGGGGAAAGGGCGCTGCGAAAGCCTAGGCTCCCTCCTCGGACTTCTTGATGGGCTGAGGAAGATGGTGGGCCCAGGTGGGGAGAGGTGGGCAGGAGAGTGGCCCGGGCGCTCCGGGGCCAGCACAGCCGTCAAGCACTGTGTTGCTGACCATGGGTTCTTGGTCTGAAGTCAAGAGGTCTCTCACGACCTGGAAGCCGGGGCGGGGAGATGGGGGTGCGCAGAGGGGAGCTGGAGTCCTTACTAGCGCTGGATGCGGGTAAGCAGGGCGGACAGCACGGCCTGGACCTCCACGGTGGAGCAGGTGCACACGACAGGCTTCCGCTGGTCCTGCAGCAGCTCCGCCACGTACTAGGGCGGGGAGGGGGCAGGTGAGCACGCGTGGGGCCCCCTGGCTCTAGGCTAAAGCCAGGCAGTCAGGTCTCTGGCCACGAGCGAGGGCGGGCCAGACCCCACATGGTGGCCTGCCCCGGAATGCAAGAAGGCTCAGGCGCTTAGGGCCCAACATCCCGGCAGGGGGCGCAGCCTTAGGCCAGGTCTAGGCGGTGGGCAGGGAGCAGGGGAGTGTGGGGCTGCGCTTCCCGGAGACCCAGGCTGGTCGCGGGCATTTTATAGCACACGGCACTGCTCAAGGTGCCCTCGCTCTGCTGTGCTGCGAAGGAAGAAGGCAGGCCAGCACTGCTCCTGCTTCCTTCCAGGGCGCAGTGGGGAGAAGGTAGGCAGCGCCTGGCGTCCGGTAGGCGGGGCAGCGACGGGGCGGGGCCTGGAGCCGGAGTTTAGCGGGAAACAGGACGCAAGGAAGGGCTCAGTGCCTGCTCCCGTCGCCCCAAGCGGCACAGCACACACCTGGGGTGTCTCCTGCTCCCCAGCACCTCTCCCTAGGCCGCGAGTCTTACCTGGCCCTGCCAGTCGACGGTGCTCACGAGGATAACATTTTCCGGGAGGGCCGCATCTGACACCAGGATCTGATTCAGCTGGTCATAAACCACCTTTCGTGGAATCTGCAGGGGTGACCATGTTCACTAGGGCTGCCAGGGCGTGGGGGTGAGCGAAGTCCCTAGCAGGTAGGCGGCTCTGGGCGCACAGGGAGAGCAGAAACGAGGTGTTTATACAGGAAGGGAGCCAGGGGCCCACTGGCCAGGCCAAAACGGAGAGGAGGACGCTGAAGAAGCGGAGGGCCTCAGAGAACATTCACAGGGCAGGGCAGAGCCACGGCGGCCACTGGGGGAGGGCCGGCCCGAGGGGAGCGAGAGGCACAGGCGTGAAGGCGAGGGCGACGGCGAGAAATGAGGAGAGCAGAACGGCAGGAAGGGCCGCCCGGAGCCGGCCCTCACGGGGAGCGAGGCATTCCAGGGGCAGGGGCTGACGGGCAGGGGCTGACGGGCAGCGCCGTGCCCCAGGCACCGGGCTGAGTAGTCGGGCTCTCCGTCGGCGCCGTGATAGTGCCCGATGCAGAACCGCAGAACCACACCGGCACAGACTTTTCTCTCAATGTTTTTTCCCCTCAGGTAAATGAGCAAACTTGCTGTCAGCCTGAGAACAGCAGTCGTGTGAGGGACGTCAGCTTAGCGAAATCCCTCTGCTGACCCTCAGGACACTCCAACTTCTGCGCTCCTATCCCCGGCCGACCCGCAGCAGCGCCGAAGGCCAGCAGGTCGCCAGGCACCCCGATTCTCAGCCCCGGGCCCGCCGCAGGCAGGGCGGCAGGACAAGCTGGAGGGGGGGCTGCCCCCGGTGCCCAGCTCACACTCGTGATCCGCACGAACAGGCTGGCTCCTGACTCAGTCTGCCCTCAAGGCTTGCGTTGGGGGTTTCCCAGCAGTCCTTTCCTGTGCGCCCAGCGGCCTGAAGGTGGCCACACAGAGAGTGAGGTCCAGGGCTGCGGGCCGGCCTACCTGAGTGCTGTGGCCCAGGTCCGGGGACCGCTCGCTGTCGGAGCTGTTGGTCCTCTCGCTCAGGGGCTTGGAGAGCTGCCGCTCCTTCAGGGGGGCGCTCCTCTTCTGCCGTGGGGTGTGTGCTCCGTCCACTCTGCTGCGAGAGGCGGGGAGGTGGTGAGCAGCCCGCCGGCCCCGAGGCCACGCCAGCCTCTCGGCCCGAAGCCAGGAACCCTCCACGTGGGCCGCAGCCTGTGCCGGCTGCTCGGCCCTGAACGCCACCCCGCCTCAGGAGGCGCCTTGAGCCGAGTACCTGGGTGAGGCAGAGCCGGGGAGATCTGTCTTGCTGGACTTCATGGGAGTTTTGACTTTCTCTGGCACGACCAGACTTGTGCTCACATCGCCAAACATGTCCTGGTCAGTCATCTCCTGTCAGGAGGAGGGAGGCCGCGAGGTTGCTGCCCACTCAGCCACCAGCTGGGGGCCCCTCACCTCCACGCGGAGGAGCGGGCCATTCTCTGTCGCCTGGCTGGGAAGTGGCGCCCTCCGGGCCCGCCCTGCAGGCTGCTGTCAGCGCTGCCGCTCGCCCACCATGGCCCCGGCTGACGACCGGCTTTCTGGCGGGAGGGCGGGTTCTAAGCGGCCAGTGACTCGACTGGCACGTCTTACGAAACGGCCACTGCCGTAGGACAAGTGAGGCAAGAGGAGACTGGGCCCTTCCGAGGAGGGGAGCCCAGGGCGCAGTGGGCAGTCAGCTCCACGTGAGCCTGAATCAAGCCTGACACTGCCCCACGCCAGCTCCTCACTGCACACTCGGGCTGAACACAGGTCTCAGGGTGAGGCTGGGGCGCGCACCCCCAGACAGGGTTCGGTGCAGTTCTGCGGCGCCCCCCCCCCATCCAGCCTCCATTTCCACAGGGGAAGGGCAGCGCCGCCCCCCTCGGCCTCCCGAGTGCCGCTCGGCCTTGCTCTCTGAGGGCGGCGTGAGCGCAGAGGCCGCGAACGCTGCTCTAGGCGTTTTCAGGGCTCAGCTCGTGCCGTCGTTCAGGAGATGGGTGTGGGGTTTGGTGCTTGTTTAACTGGGCACCCGGACGATTTGTTCCATTTCCTTCGGGTTTGGTCAGTACCCAGGCAGCTCCCACGGGGCTCTGAGGAGGGGGAGGCGGGCCCGCCCCCCCACCATGGACAGGGGCTGTGCTGGGCTGCCCGGCCAGGGCGAGGGCAGGTATGGGCTCGGAGGGAGACACTGCCCTCACCTCTCAGAAGTAAATGGGGGTGACAGAGGGACAAAGCACCCAAGTTACCACTTGCTCGGGTCTAATTAAAGGGCAGAATGGGGACACCCCTTGCTTGCGACTTTGGAGAACAGCCCTGTCTCCTGGGGGGCTACATTCTAAGGGTGAGGGTCCGGGAGAGAAAGCGCGCAGGAAGCACAGCTGCGGCTGGCGTTTCCCACGGGGGCTGAGGGCTCTGCCCTTTACCCCTAATGCGCAAACACTGCTTCAAACAGCGGAAACGGGGCTGCCACACATACCAGGGTGTCTGTCTCAGTCAAGCTGTCATCTTGATTTTTAATCCAAGCAGATTTGACTTTTTCTAGAGCAGCCAATTCCATCTGCAAAAATTACAGTAATCAGTCATTGCCAGAGCTCAGGGCTGCCGCCCGGGCTTCTCTCCGGGTGCCCAGGCGCTTGAGAGGCTTCATCTCAGCTGGGGTTTCCACCCTGGAAGGAATATATTCTCGTGGAAAGCAAGCCACAGAGGTGTGGGTTATGCTGTGCAACTCAGCGAGATGCAGAACCCGGCAGTCCTGACTCTGAGAAAGGCCCCGGGCGGGAGCCGCGGCTGCCGGGCCACGAGGCCTGGGACCGGCCAGCGGAGAGGGCGCCTCTGCAGCTTGCTGGACGTTGCTGAGAATAAAGAGGGCCAGCGTTCAAGTCTTTCATTTTGAAACTAAAGGAACCCACGGTAGCCACATGCTTTTTGCCTGGCAGGAACATCTAGGACACTCTTAGTGAAGATACTAAGTACAAAGATACCCAACGTCTAGTCCTTGAGGTGTGAGTTAATTCTCCCTTTGTCCCTAACTCCTACCAGCTTCTCCCGCAACATTAAGACTCTGCTTTGCACATGCAGACGTAGAGCCGGATCCCCATATGTGGGACACACCACCAGGAGCAGGCCGGTGGGTCCTGGGTGCAGGCAAGGGCTGGGCTCGGAGAGTTGCTTTGGTCCCTACGCAGCCAGGGAGTCAGAGAAGGTCAGGCTATTCCACTTCCGCCCGACTACTCAAAGTGGACCACCCGGCACTGAGGAATATCAGGTCCGCCGGCTGCGGGGCCGCCTGGCAAGCTGGTGAGCCAGGATTACGAAAGTGGGCCCACGCCGGACTCCAAACTGTCGCCTCCACACACCTTGACACTAGTGACATCTGGGAGGACACTCTCTGCTGGGCACCCACCCATGCCTGGAGGATGTTCAGGAGCACCCCCGGTCTCTACCCACTAGATGCCAGTGGCAACCCCCAGACCTCCCCCACCCAGTCCGGAGACTGCCAAGTATGTCTGTGGCCACTGCCAAATGCCCCTTGGTGGGCAAAAATCACTTCTTTGAGAACCAGCGTGTAAGTCCCTTGCACGACTAAGCTAACATATTTTCATCTACTTCAGCAGACCGTGTCCCCTGAGGTGAGATGGACTGGTTCAGGCCCTGCAGCGCAGGCTGCCTGCAAACACACGTGAGCTCACTCACGCCGGCCTGCGCGAAGAACTGTCAGCCACACAGCCGAGGGCCGCAGGCGCCCCGAGGCGGCGGGGACTTTGCTCCGCTCGGTCTCACTATAGCAGAGGCCTTGCGCGTGCCCTACAGGGACCGGGTGGTGGTGACCCCGCTCTGCTGGGAGGCTCTCACGCTGTGTGGTCTGTCCTCCAACCCTGTGACAGCCGCAGCGAAGTTGCAACTTCCAATAAGATCTTCAACACAGACTAGATGTTCCAGTCAACCCCACCGGAGCTTCTCCAGTCTACCCCTGCTCCCAGAAACACCCAGGCCCTCCTCACCCCAGGGCCCTGGAACACCAGGCGGGTCGTCGCTGCGCCTGTCTGCGGTGTGGCCCCGGGCACAGGCTGCCTGTGCAGCGTGACACTCGGTGGAGGGGACCGTCTCTGGCTGCCGCGTTACGGAGCACGGTCTCTAGCAGTTCCTGACAGTGTCGCGGGCACAGTGACCCCCGGGGCAGTCCTGACTGAGAACCCATGTTTCTCGGCCTCCTGGGGCCGTCAGGGCACGCGGCCATCTGCTTCACAAGCAAAGGTTGTCGCCACTGTGTGCACAAGTCTTGGGAAAAGCACAACTATAATAATTTATATCTGCAGAAACTCCTACTGGTTCTAGTGATAAACGGAATCCTCTGAGACTGGGGGGAGCAAGAAGACAGAGCCACAGAAGGCCCAGCGCCGGCATCGAGGGCGGCGAGCAGCAGGCGCCCGCGCCCTCGCCAGCGCCCGGCGCCTCCGTGTACCCGCGGAGGTTTTGCGCTTGAGACCGCTTCGCTCTGCGGTTCCGCAAGCCCCTTCCACGCCAAAGGATTCCGAAGTTCCACACCCACATCAAGGCGTATGCGGCTCTTCAGAATAGAAACGGCACAGAGAACCAGCAAAGCGGGTTTGAAGTTGGGCCAAGGGAGCCAGAATTTGAAGGACTCACTAGAAAGACACCGGAGTGTGCGGATTTGAGGAGCCCCGCCTAACTGGCCGTGGGAGACACCCAACAGGGGCGCCCTGAGCTGTGTGGGCCGCGCTCCCCAGGCAGCCACCGGGCCAGCCCAGCAGCCCCAGGCGGAGGCTGCGCCGACCCACGGCCCAGGACGGCAAGGGCCTCCCTCGCGCCCTAGGCTCCCTCGCGCCCTCGGCTCCCTCGCACCCTCGGCGCTGGGGCACGGCCCTCGGCTGCGGTCGCGGCGGGCGGGCGTCGAGTCAGCTCAGGGCTGACGCCAGAGCACAGATCTCAGCCCAGGCCTTCCTGCCCCAAACACGAGGCGCCTCCACTGACTTTTGAGCTCAGGGGCCCTGTGCCGGCACCTTTACCTTGGGGATGAGGCACCGGAGACTCGGGGCGTTGTGACTTTTTTCACTGGATGCTTTAAACCATATAACTGAAACGAAAGTAGAACCTACAAATTCTCATGACCCAGTATAAAGTGAGTAACGGTCCCGAGCATCTCCCGTGTCGTGCCAGACCAGGCGCCTCTGGGGCGTCACCTCCGCTGACCACCCGGCGCACTGGCTGTAGTAGAGCCCAGCGCCGCTCCCACCACCCCGTGGCTGTCCTCCTTAGCCGTTTCTTTCCAGAAGAGGCGTTCCTTGTATTTACATCGGGGAAGGATTATGGTTCTACTGTCAGTGATTTGCCCATACGGACAGTAATGGTCCATCAGGGCCAGCAGCCCTGTGAGAAAGAACAACTACAACCTCTCTAACCTCTCAGATGTCACCAGCTTGGCTGGAAAATGGCTGAGAGGGCAGGGCCTGCAGGCAGGAGGCCTTGGGCTTCGCTGTGGAGCATTTTCAGTGTGGGGTGCAGTTTCCCGTGCCCCATTTCCTCACTACCACCACTTGGTGCTGAGGGTCTTAAGCCAGAAGCTGCCGCGACTTCACCGCTCAGGGGGATAAGGTGGAGAACAGCCCCACCTGGCGGCAGCAGGCAGTAAGGCAGCCTGAGGCCCCTCAAGTCTGCAGACTCGGGCCTGGCAGCCCTTCCAGACACACAGAGCTGCGCCCGCCCGGGCAGCGCCCTCGTGTCATCACTCACCTGCCCTGTCAGAGCACACCTCACATCCTCACCATTTCCTCACAATACCTGTTTGCTGGGAGAGTTGTGTTTCTCTGTTACAGTAGCAAGAACAAGAGGGCTCGTTTTAGGTTACAGGAAAGGCACTGGACCTTCCAGAGCCGTGAAGTCACCTGTCTTCTGCACTGCAGTGCTCAAAGAGAAGCTGTTTCTGCCTCTGACCCGCGCCGGGGAGCGACAGTAGACAGCTAGGGAATCTCTTGCTGCCCAGGCAAAATGGAGGCCAGCACATGGGACCCTAAAGTCTTTGAGGGCACTACCCCCCGGGTGCGTAAAGCTTCGTACTGCCTCCTGAACAGACCCAGGGAGCGTCCTGCCCTGCATGCTGTTCTCTCCCCAGCAGGGCGCCAACTCAGCCCCACTGGCAGAACACCACGCCCTGCTGCCTTGGCGGGCGCTGGCTCCGGCTCCGAGGGGGAGGCTTTGCAGCCCCGAGTCCTGGGAGGGAAGGCCCCCGCCCTGGCGGACCACGGAGAGCACCCGACCAGCACGGCCATGTCGTCAGAGAACTCAACTCCCCGCGAGGACTAGATGCAGGCAGCCAGGACGGACCAACGATGAGACAGTGGAGGACACAGAGCGAGCCGAGTGCAGAGGGCCCAAGCGGGGGCCCCTGTCCCCCACCCCCAGAGCCACGGTCTTGCTCACAGGGCTGGTGGTGTCTTTGCCGAGGCTGCCCTTGCTGTTGAGGCTGCCGATCTCCGTCTGTGAGCTGGACTGCGACATCCCCTCAAAGAAGGGCCTGCGGTGAAGGAGCACAGCCAGGGTCAGCGGCCGCCATGGCGGGAGAGGCGCTCGTGAGGGTGCGGTAGAGCTGGTACGGAGGGGCACAGTGGGGGCTGGGAAGTCGGGGTGCACCAAAGGATTTCAGGAGAGTCCTGTGGGACTTGTCAGTCAGAGGCCAAAACCGTGGTCTCTGCCCAGACAAAGATGAGGAACAAAGACTCCCTGGCATGTGTGTGGGGGGGAGGTTGGGAGACTGCTGTGGCCCGAGGGGCGAGGTGGTGGGAGATGGTCTGACAGAGCTCTGGCGCTCACTTGAGCTTGGGCTTTGGGGTGCTGAGGATGCTCTCCGTCTCCTCCATCTCAGGGCCGCTGTCGCTGGGGTTGTACATCTCCAGGCTGTCGTAGAGCTCGTCCAGGTCCTCCTCCACCTCTCGTATCTGCTCCCGGGACACGTGTTCCAGCCCAAAGCCCACCTGTTGGGCAAAAGAAAGAACTCTGAGCTTGGGGTTATTCTTGGTAACAACTCGGGGGACCCCTAGTCCCTCCTGGACGCGTCCCCTGAGGGGACAGGCGCAGTGTCCCTCATAGAGGCGTCCTTTCTGGGGTCCATCCTGACCCAGGGCGGTGGTGGGGCTGCCTGCCCTCATGGGGCCTCTCTCGCACTCCGCCCTGCGGGCCTGCCCCCAGGGACATGAGCCAGACCCCAGGAGGCCTCGCCAGGAGCAGGCAGAGGAACCCAGGTGGCCACGAGCCACGCGGGCTGCCCCACTTGCCTGTGCCGCCCTCGCTCAGCAACGTCCCTTTCCAGGCTGGGACGAGAAGCCTGTGACACCGGTGCGGGCTGCCAGAGCCCCGAGAAGAGGCTGCCCCGGCTGCCCCGGCAGCGGCCAGCTCTCGTTCCCAGGGCCGCCGGCCGAGAGCGGTCCCGCCTCTCAGGCTGTTGCTGCGGTGCTCAAACGAAACAAAACTGATACCCACGGAGGAGGGTGGCGCTAACCTGGGTGCTACAGCTTCCTCTTCACGGAGCTGAAAGCCCTTTCTAGCTGCCCTCTCCCTCAGGTCCTGGACTCTTGACTCCGGAAGAGACTCGGGAAGTTCTACTCACCGTCGACCTTGGGGTAAGGGTTCGTACCTCGTCTGAAACTTTAAACCGCTTCAGGAGGGCCACAAACTTCTGTTTGATGTTAGGTTGCTGTTGGGACAAGTGGCACAACTGTTCTCAGACGACACCCCGTGTGGAGGGCGTCAAGTCAGCAAGGGCGGCGCTGCAGGTGGTTCTGGGGGTGGGGCACAGACCAGGCGGCTCCCCACCCCAGGAGCCTTCTCCCCTCTCAGCCCCGGAGCCCCAGGGCCCGCGGTGGCTCCCACCTGCCCAGCGCTGCCAAAGCAGCACTGCTCGCCCCTGCAGGCCCCCCCGTTACTATCTGGGGCTCTCCCCAAGGCCCGAGCCTGCACCAGGGCCCCCTCTTCTCGCCACAGCTCTGCTCTAGCTCCTGCCTTTTCTCTTCCTCCTCGACCGCCACGGCATCGTCCACAGGGTTCTCCCTTTCCCCCTCTCCCGTGCGGTGAGTCCCTGTCAAGGTCCCTCCGGCGGCCACACTGCCCAGCTCAAGGCACACGTGACCGTCCTGGTGTCAGAGCTGCTCGCGGCGCTCGGCCTGGAGGGCGGCTGGCGCGTCAGGTGTGCCCGGCTGGTTCTGCTCCCGCCCATTCTGGCTCAGGCCCCACGCTCCAGCGGGCACAAAGCACCACACGCTGCTGCCTGC